ATGAAAACTCTGAATGTACAGTATGTACTGTGTGTTTGTGGTGATTACTTTAACTGTGAGAATAGTAATTGGCACTTTTCTTTAATTGTTGCAAAAAAGTGTTGATTTGTGTGTGTTTATTTATTTAAATACCCTATTGGGTAGACCTTCCCCGGATAAATAATACAGTCCAGAAATGTTGAACATACATTTAATCACAGCATGTATGTCACCTAATCAATTACATTCCCTCTTGAACTATATATTTTTTCATTTAACATATTTATTATGCATCCCTTAACTCATGAATTACAAAAATGCTTGTTTAAATAAAACAAGGATAAAACATAGGCTCAGTATTTGAATGGAACGAGCAACTCCATAGGGGTATGATTAAATCACTAAAGAAAGGCTGTAATCAATATTTAAAGGGGAAGGAAATGAAAAGGATTCAACAAAAGAAATGGAAAGCGTCAAACGCTTGAGGGCGGACACTACAGTAAGATGCAGCATTACAGGATCAGATTGTGAGGTGTGTAACTTACCACAAGAAAAGCCATTCGCTGCAATGCAATGCTACTCTTACTGGTCCCCCTGCTAAAGCATGGAAGCAAAACCCCTCACATCCTATTCAAGAAAAGCCCATACATCTCCCTGTGTGACCAGAAACATACAAGATTCTCTCAAATGACGACAACAAAAAGCCCCTCTAACCTTTCAAGACAAAGCTGTGTAAAGTATTAGAATCTGATGCTGTAGAAAGATCCTAGTTGCCTTTGTGTATATCAACTGCCTGCTTGAGTATTTTATGTGTTGACATTTTCTCTGTAATCTTGTAGAACTGTTTGGGGTGTTTTTTCCTGCCATATCGCTTGCAGTGATAGCGAGCTGACAGTTACTGTGTATACCTTCATTTTTGATGAGGTGTTTTACAGTTTTGTTTCACTTTGTGTAGTGATTCACTCTGTGGAGTTTTCTGACTGTTGTTATATAACTTCATATACACAAATGATCAATAAAATGGTTTTATTTCCTGTTGATACAGAACCTTTTCAAGTGCTTCTTTTTTTTCCGGATACTTGGTTGGTTCACTTACCAACTTTTTATGTGAATTTTGATGTGTGAGCAGATAATACTGACATTCACATTTTAGACAACATGCCTTCATCAGCATAAGAATAAGAAGCATTGAGTGCATTGAATGCTTATAAAGCCTAGATTTATTTTCATAATGAGCCAAATATATTGGTTTTCTACCCAAAGTTGCAAAGGAAATGCTGTGATCTATTTAATAAACACAAGAGACCAGAAAAATTGATAAAAGAGTGTGGCGGTATAGCAGGAACAGCGGAATCTAGTGGTCAAACCTGGTAGATTCACACTAAACAATGCAAGCGACTTCAATCACTCATTCTTTATTAGGGGGAAAAAAACATCTCCAGATTCACAGGGAATACATTACATAGTATGGAGAAGCAATACTACAAGCCACAGCTTCATACTACTTGTCAAACATAGAGAACTGATACTGGTTCTTGGGGTGGCATTGGCGTGGGGTATGAAAAATGTATGCACTCACTAACTGTAAGTCGCTCTGGATAAGAGTGTATGCTAAATTACTAAAATGTAAATGTAAATGTAGGGGGGGTCCGTGGGTGGCTTTCGACCATTCCTTTGGATTCCTCATGTCTAAAGCATTGCTAGAAAGTATGTTAGGCACTATATTTATCGAATATTATATGAACCCTATACACTTAAATGGTCAATTTGGATGCAATCAATTAGCTTAATTTCTCAGAGATCCAATTATATTTCAACAAAAGAATGTTGCATGAATGCTAATCTTATCTGTTTCTAACAACATAAATTATTTCAGAACAATCTGAGATGCTGGGTGTCAAAATCCTTTCCTGTGCTTTCTGAGATAGAATGGCCCTACAATCATTCAGACATTATCAAATGACTAACAAAGAGAAAGTGAATGGGTACACACATTGTGAAAGGAAGCAACACATACCTTCGGAGTCTTCATCCAGTATACTTAATACATTAGTAACATTACTACAGTAGCAGTTCATATTTTTATTGCCGGGACAATGGAGATCGAACCCATATTTCCTGATCTGAACATCTGCAAAATGTACCCTCAACGTTATCCACCAGGAGATCTGAAAGTGCATTCTCAACCATATTACTACTCCACTTAAAATTATTTCAATATAGCCCAGGAATACTCTCAGATTACTTAAGAGAGTATAACTTTCACTCTGAATTGGTGATAGAAATAGATTGCATTGAATAAACCTGGGTTTGGTGTGGTTTAAATGGTTTTGTTCTATATGAATAAAATGATTTGATAACTTCCAGCCCCTTATTTAAGGAAACTTCTCTTTGCATTGGATTTGAACCAGCAGCTGTAATGTGGAACTGACCTCTTAGGGAAATACGACATTGTAATGCTTTTTTTAACCACCATTGCCATTCTAGCGAAGGCTCATATCATATAGCCTAGTTCAGAGCATGCACAGATCAGCTGGCTCTAGTGTTTATGGACATTTTCATACTCTCCCTGTCCCAGTCTGTCATCCCCACTTGTTTCAAGACGACCACCGTTGTTACTGTACACAAGCAAGCTAAGATAACTGAACTAAATGACTATCGCCCCGTGGCACTCACTTCTGTCGTCATGAAGTGCTTTGAAAGGTTAGTCAAGGATCATATCACCTCCACCATACCCTACACCCTTGACCCAGTTCAATTTGCATACCACCCCAACAGATCCACGGATGACACAATCGTTGCTGCACTGCACACCGCCCTATCCCACCTGGACAAGAGCAACACCTACGTGAGAATGCAGCTCAGCGTTCAACACCATAGTGCCCTTGAAGCTTGTCACTAAGCTCAGGGTCTAAACTCCTCCCTGTGCAACTGGGTCCTAGATTTCCTGACGGGCCGACCCCAGGTGGTGAGGGTAGGCAACAACCCCTCTGCAACACTGATCCTCTACACGGGGGGCCCCCCAGGGGTGTGTACCCAGCCCCCTCATGTACTCCCTGTTCACCCAGTGTTGAATTCAAGTGTTGTTGCAATTCGCCTAGTTTCCAAGAGGGGCATAACTGTGGGAAGCAATGGAGTCAACATGCAATTCAATATTTGGAAGGTGTTCTTAATGTTTTCTACACTCAGTGTAAGTCAACTATAATAAGTCAACTATGATAAGCCTGGGACACCAGCCTTAACCTCTGAGCCACTCTAGTCTACACCTCTGTTACCTCGACTAACCTGTGCCCCCGCACATTGACTCTGTACCGGTACCCCCTGTATACAGCTTCGCTACTGTTATTTTACTGCTGCTCTTTCATTATGTTTTACTTATCTATTTTTTATTTAACAAGTATTTTTCTTAAAACTGCATTGTTGGTTAAGGGCTTGAAAGTAAGCATTTCACTGTAAGGTCTACACCTGTTGTATTTGGCGCATGTGACAAATACAATTTGATTTGATATGTAGTTGGCAAAAACACAGAGTCTATTCTTGGCTCCAGCCGTTTAGTATGGTCACAGAAGATCAGGGTTGGGGAGTAACTCATTACATGTAATCAGTTACATGTAATGTGATTACATAAAAAAGAACTGTAATCAGTTAGGTTACCAGCTAAAATATTGTAATCAGATAAGAGATACTTTAGAATAACTAGATGATTATTTCTTGGATAACTTTTAAATTCAGTTTAAATTCAGAAAGGATGTTTACAAGAAGAAAAACACCTTTCTGTTTTCTCAATGACATTAAATACAACAGTGAAAAAAGTTTAAGTTTGTTCCACCTGAGCGAGTCTGGCCACAAGTCAGCGAACACTATGATGACACACCAAATGCGTTTGATGGATAATTTTTGTTTTCTTCTAATGCCTTTTAAGGGTAAAATAATCCAAAAGTAACTGAAAGTAATCAGATTACGTTACTGTGTTTGAGTAATCGAAAAGTTATGTTACTGATTACAATTTTGGACATGTAACTAGTAACTGTAATGGATTATATTTAGAAAGTAACCTACCCAACCCCGCCAAGACCTTGCATGTCACAGCTCTGTCCACAAGATGGAGACACAAGACCCTTTTTACACAATGATTTACATCTGCATGATATTCTTTTCTACAAAAACTTGGGCATTTGGAGTGAAGTATGAATGTTGTTTACTGCTGAGGTGAGGTCCCTCTGTTAGAATGGTGGTTTGTCCATCAAAGTATCAGGTAACACGTACTATTTAATTCAAATAAGTCAATTAAAACCTTTATTAGTGTACTATTTATCATCATTTGCTTACATAGTTTTTCTAAATGCATGCAGTGCACTCTATATCAGCACAGGGCCATCCATTGACTTTTAAAGGCCCTGATATACACAAGTCTTTGCTGCCATCTACTGGACTTGACTGCTATGTCAATTGGCTCCAGACATATCTGTATGATAGAATCATTAGAAATATCCATCAAATGAATCAACATAGCTTAAAAGGCAATTCCACCACTTTTCAACCTCATTTTCATTATCTCCAGCCTGTGTCTACATATGTAAAATCGGTGCATTTCTATGTTTTGTAGAAAAATAAAGTTAAAAGTTCTACCCGATGACATCATCGTAAAAAACTCTCATTTGTAAAAAAAAAAGTGATGGCTATTCAGCATCAAATGCGACTCCATTCATTGTAGCCAGACAGGCATGTTCAAAGCAGTTTTCATGCAAAGTCATGGGTCGTGCATGGACTCTTATTTTGAAATGCATGTTTAGAGCTGCATGTAGAACTGCAGAAATGAGTGCTCATTTCTTATGACGCGTTCAAAACATATGTGAACTCGTGCTGCGTTCAAAACAACTGGGAATTCGGGAGAAAAAAAAGCCTAAAGAGTGGGAAAAATCGTTTTGGACGGTCATCCAAATCGGGAATTCGGGACTCTTTCTAGAACTCTAACTTTCCGACCTTAAGATCACCGACGTCATGATTTGACCTCGTATTTTTTCCGAGTTCCCAGTTGCCTTAAAAGCACCACAGTCAGTACTTTGACAGCGCTACGGTTTGTCCTCGGAGAACAGACTTTTCGCTGTTGCCTTGTAAGGTACCAAAAACAAGATGCTCTCTTACATCATTGGGGTAAGTATAATTGCCAGCTAGCTAAATATTATATTGTTGCATTGCTTAGGCTCAGCTACAGTTGTGCGATTTGACAGTGCACAAGGAATCTATAACTAATGGTAGGCACGTTAGCTATGGTTGGCTAACTAGTACTGTAGCTAGTTACATATCTTCGTCGTTAACCATCAAGTTTGTAATCCACTGTAGCTGTAGTAAGTCATATGGTGTATATAGTAAACTGTCATAACTACCTAGCTTGATAACCAAAGCGTTTGATTTGCCACTGTTATGGAGATGTTTAGGTAGAAGATAACTAGCTAGCTTGTCATGCAACTTGCTAAGCAACCCTCTCTATTCGCAGTGGTTTATTTGTTATGGAGCTAGACAGTTGGTTCCCTAGTTTATGTGATTGACAATCGGGTTAATTTCTGATCAAAATAGCCAGCATGGAGATCTCTGCACGCTTGTCAAAGGAGTGCACGCCACCATGTCGTTATTGAGTTAGCTAGCTACTAGCAATGGAACGGTGGTGAGCGCAGCAGTTTGGTCTAATGGAGTTTCCCCAGTGTTCTCTGACAAAACCACTCCCCTAATTTTAGGTAAACATTGCGCCTATCCATTATGACTAAACTATTTGTCAAGTTCGGTGTAATTGCACACTGACTGATGCATTGTATATCAGTACAAAAATGAGGTATATCCTAGTAACTGTTAAACACCTGTTTTTGTTGACATGTTGGTACAGTCAGTAACTTTCCCCTCGCAATCATGGCTGCAGTCTTTACAATGTTCAACATGTAAAGATCGACATCTTTATTTCCACAATAACTTCAACTGAAAAGGCAAACCTTCCTTTCACATCTCCGCAGCTCATTCGAAGCAGTATCGACAACATCATCAACCTCATCCTGAGCCTCTTCCTCTCAAAGAAGAAACCTGCCATCACCCTAGAGGACCCCAACATCAAATATGCATTAAAGCTGATAGATAAAGAGGTACGAATTCTGTGTTGTGATCTGCTTATTATTACTCTGTGCTGTGGTGAAACCATGTACACATTATTAATTTATAGAGTGAAAAAAAAGAAAAAAAACATTGGACTAAGAAATAAAATGAGTAACAATTGTGTGACTAGATAAGACATGTTTGATCTGGGATGCCCAGTGCTGTTCTAGGAAGACTTAGGGTAATTCCATGAAATGGAGTGATGCTCAGACTCAGATTTTGTCACTTTAACATTTATGTAAAACAAAAACCAATGATTGCAAAGTTAAACAAACCATACAACTATGCACAATGACTACTTTTAACAATTTCCACACCCCAAAAAAACACATTTACTTGAACAACAGTGCAGATGCAATATTTGGTAACATAATGATCGCACAAATCGTCATTCTGTTATCAAATGTTTGCATCTGCACTGAGTTCTAAGCTTTGTTTAACTTTGTAATCATTGTTTTTTTGTTTGAGTTTCAGCATCACTCTGTTGCTGTGGAAATGCCCCTTACCATTAATGGAACTGCACAAAGACCAAACAAATAAGTTAGGCTGGTCTGTGTCACAAGCCCCTCAGGACTTGGGCTGGGCAGCTGCTCCATTGCTACAGACTGGGTTTTCTCCATTTAGTGCAGAGGTCAATATGCAACCACTCTGGATTATAGTTTGAAGTCATTGCTCTTGTACAGACTGCTAATGTGGATGAAGGCTAACAGTCAGTCAACTGTGTGGTTTATTCAGGGTTATTCAACTCTCACACTAGTGGTCCGGAGCCTGCTGGTTTTCTGTTCTACCTGATAATTAATTGCACACACCTGGTGTCCCAGGTCTAAATATAGCCCTGATTTAGAGGGAAACAATGAAAAAAAACGCAGTAGAACTGGACTTCGAGCTCCAGAGTGGAGTTTGAGGGATCTATATCATGTCAGCGTTTTGTGCAGTTGTGAAGTACTGTGTTGTGGTTCTCACAGATCATCAGTCATGACACAAGGAAATTCCGTTTTGTCTTGCGGGAGAAGGATCATGTCCTTGGGCTTCCCATTGGTGAGTACATTCAATTGATGTAGCTGTTCAACTTTTCAGCATTTATATGAAAACACTGTTAGACTATATAGCATAACATGGAATGTATTGCTGGTCTGAATCAGAGATCATACAAAAATGTATTGTATCTGTTCATAGGGTTGTCTTTGCACTATCACGACTCCTCTTAATTTGTGGCCACCATACTTTGTGACTATGTTTTCGTTCTCAGGGCAACACATATTCCTGTCTGCCAAGCCGGACGGAGTCCTGGTGGTCCGACCGTACACACCTGTGTCTAGTGATGACGACGTAGGCTTCGTAGACCTGGTAGTCAAGGTACAGAAATCATCTGAAGAAGCTTTCTCAGTACTATAATTCAACCACCATCTCCTCAACCAGTTTTTCCAAACAAATGTTCTTCTTGCTTCCCAGATTTACTACAAGAACGTTAATCCAAAGTTTCCTGAAGGTGGGAAGATGAGTCAGTACTTGGAGAGCCTCCGGATTGGCGACACCATTGATTTCAGAGGGCCCAGCGGCCTGCTGGTCTACCTAGGAAACGGTGAGTCATCACATTTGCCCGACACTGCCACTGTGTGGTAGACAAAAGGACAACACTTAAATAATACCCTGTTATGTATATGTAGGCATTGGCCTGAAATTCTGTTTCTAAAGTGGTCACTGCTCTGAGCTAGGTCAATGGTGAAGAAGTGCATGCAAGCCACTCCTTTACTAAGTTGGTTTGTTTACTGGGTGTTTCAACAGGGGCTTTTGCCATCAAGGCAGAAAAAAAGGCGGAGCCTGTGATCAAAACCGCCAAGCAAGTGGGCATGATCGCAGGAGGGACCGGTAAAACTAATGCCACCATGCTCAATCTGTACATAGCAGAATGGCCATCTGTGATTGGTTGACATGTGTTCTATTGGATCCTGTTCCCTCAGGAATCACTCCCATGCTGCAGATCATCACAGCTATAATGAAGGATCCCCAGGACCAGACTGTGTGTCACCTGCTCTTCGCCAACCAGGTGAGTTAACACCACTTTCCTCATCTGGATTGAATCTAATGTCAAGGTGTTCAAACATGGGCTAGTAGTCCCTAATACCTTCTCTATCCTGTTCTCCCTCAGACTGAGAAAGACATCTTGCTTCGACCTGAGTTGGAGGAGATCGCAGCAAATCACCCAACCCGATTCAAGCTGTGGTTCACCCTGGACAGAGCGCCTGAGGGTAAGAGATGCCCATAACTACTATTTTGTTTCAGTGAACATGATCTGATATAGGCAAATTCATGTTTGTTTCCCATGTTTAAGAATCTTGTCTGGTCCTGAGTGACTTAAACTTTAACGTCTCTTTGCTCATCAGAGTGGGAGTACAGCCAAGGCTTCATCAGTGAGGACATGGTGAGGGACCACCTTCCACCCCCCGGAGACGACACTCTCATCCTCCTGTGCGGACCCCCTCCCATGATCCAGTTTGCCTGCAACCCCAACCTGGACAAAGTGGGCCACGCCAGCAGCCGGAGGTTCACCTTTTAAAGGCCACCCCAGGCGAGGGGTTCCCCAGGGCTCAATGATCCGCTACACCCAACATTTATTAAAATGCTCTTGCATCAGCGCTTGATCATCTATTGAAATCATTTCACTCATCCTACAGCAGAATTGGTGTGGACCATTTTCTGTAATTTGGTGTGCAAAACCGAATCCTGAAATGAGTAGAGTCCAAAGCATTTTCTGTTGATCAGTGATTTCTGATTAAAAGGTTTATCATTCTGAATTTAATCATTGGTAGTTGGAGGGAAGAGTAGAAAACATATATTTGTTATTTGAACGTTCCTCCTGTCAAACTAATTGTGACATCAACAGATACCTGTATACTGAACAAAATATAAATGCAACATGCAACAATTTCAAAGATTTTACTGAGTTACAGTTCATAGGAGGAAATCTGTTAATTGAAATAAATAAATTGGGCTCTAATCTATGGATCTCACATGACTGGGCAGGGGTGGCATAGGCCCACCCCTTGGGTGCCAGGCCCAGCCAATCAGAATGAGTTTTTGCCACAAAAGGGCTTTATTACAGACAGAAATACTACTCAGCACTCCTCCGACGATCCCGCAGGTGACAAAGCTGGATGTGGGGGTCCTGGGCTGGCGTGGTTACACGTGGTCTGCGGTTGTGAGGCCAGTTTGACATGCTACCAAATTATCTAAAATGATGTTGGAGGTGGCTTATGATAGAGAAATTAACATTCAATTCTGGCAACAGCTCTGGTGGACATTCTTGCAGTCAGCATGCCAATTGCACACTCACTCAACTTGAGCCATCTGTGGCATTGTGTTTTGTGACAACTGCACATTTTAGTGGCCTTTGTCACCAGCACAAGGTGCACCTGTGTAATGATCATGCGCTTTAATCAGCTTCTTGATATGCCACACCAGTCAGTTGGATGGATTATCTTGGCAAAGGAGAAATGCTCACTAACGGGGATAAACAAATTTGTGCCACAGACATTTCTGGGATCATTTATTTCAGCTCATGAAACCAACACTTTACATGTTTGGTTCAGTCTGGTTTGTGTAACTTGACTCAAGTGCCTTAGCAATTGTAATACTTTTTTTTTGTATGCACAGCTGAAGACATGACCGTAATACTGCTCACTTGCATCCAATGCAAACTATTCCTTAAAGTAATGTATAGCTTTGCACAATATTGTCATTGATGTACTTATTCCATACAATATTCATATTGTTGCAGAAAGATTCTCATTGAGTGTGACTACTAAAAGGGGGGATATCTTGAAGCTGTTACTGGAGTCTTTCCATGTGCTTAAATGTGTCTGTTGCTTACATGTCCTCACAGCACTTGAATTACAGTTTCATTATGCAACACGTTTGTTATATACATTGTGACCAATAAAATACAAATGCAATAAGTTGGTTTAAAGTCTGAGGTAGCCGTGGTTACCGCAGAGCAATATGACTCCTCACACCACTTAAGTAACCAAGTTAAGATTGGCACCTTGGGCTGTGTGTAAGCGCAGCCTAATTCTGATTTAAAAAATAACAAATTGGTCTTTTGACCAATCATATCAGGATGTGAAAAGATCTAAGCGCAGCCTTAGTGAGACATGGGACTGGCAGATCTCTAGTTGCACAAATGTGATGCATTGTACTGGCTATGTTCGTATTTAATGAGAAGAGGTTGTGGGTTCAAATCCCATTCTAACTCCATGTCAACATACAAAATAAGGAGTCTCTGGCTGGTGTAAGGATCTCTCCCCATAAGCAAGTGCTCAAGAACTCATAGTGAGACCTTACCTTGCTCCATAGCTCCAGTCAGCTGAAAAGTGGAATAAGTAGCTATAAATAAAAATACTTCCACAAGTATCTCAAAAAGGGGAAAATGTACATAGCTCACCCATCTGTTATAGGCTAGTATACACATACAGCCCATCATTTTTTACCATATTCGTTTTTATTGACAATTCTTTACAAAAAAAATGCATAGAAACAGTACACAGTACATAGTGTTCACTGATATGGTTAAGGCTTGCATAACGATATCATTGCTTTGTGGTAATGTTTACATTCTACAACGTTGGGCTTCCATGTTTAATGTTACTAAAATTCATGGATATTATGACAAATTCAACAACATGACAGGACAAACCAAAGTTATTATATTGAATTATTTGGGACACATTAAACAAAACATGCAGATAGTAGCATCAAATGAGAGGACAACATGGAGAGGAAATTATAATTATGGATTAAGAGCGTCTGCTAAATGACTTAAAGGTAAAGTACAGAGACTCATTTGTGGATATTCAAACAAATATATAAAAACCAGTTCTGTAATACATTAAATCTATGGTAGTATAAAGTAAATGCTCCAATGTTGAATTCTCAATTAATGCACTACAATTCGACAACAAATAAGTACAAATGTATAACTTCACTCGGGAATGCAGAGAGAGATCGTAAATTGCTTGAAATGACAACGACGTAATAAGGCCAAAAGGTGGTCTCACAGGTTGTAGAAGAGAGCTTATCAAGGTGGAGGGGTTCAGGGTTGGATGTTGGCACAGTTTGTTCCCATTCACAGCGCTTCATTAGGTTTGCATGGCGACGCCAGCGGGGGCCAATGATGTGTATAAACCCTGGATTGCTGATGCGATGTAATGTCCAATGAGAGGCTTTGAAGCCACCGGTCAGCCATATTGGTACTCATCAGAAGGAGCACTCTTCAAATCATTCCTATAGAGTTTTACAGTATTTCAATAAAATGTTTAAAGGACAAAATTACATTATTATTTATTGTAGTGGGGACAGTATCATTAGTACTCCCTTGTATTTTTATGTTCAGTTCACATATCATTTCAAAGTATGCATTAAGGTGCCTAATAGAATATACTTGTCAAAAACAAAATGTAGACATTAATAAATGCATTTCTATAGCTTCCTAAATCTTTTTTACAATGGAGGAGTACCAAAATGGCTGCGTGGTGACTGCAAAACAGCGCCCCCTGTCAGTCATCTAAAGTTAATACATATCACTGGCGGGGACCCTCCCTCACACGTTGGAGTCGTCATCGGTGACGCTGGCCTCAGGGGAGCGAGAGGAGACCTCGCTGAAGAACTCAACCTCCTTCAGCATGCTCTGAAACACGCAGGAGAAAACACAACACACAGGAGAACGAGGTGGTCAATAACAGTGCCAGAAGAGAGCCATGGTTGTTTTGCTAGTGCACAGCTCGCTGAGAGACTCTTGTCAAGTGATTCGATGTGTGATCATGTGAGCATTTTAATGACTTCTTACTGTCAGGTTGTCGATTTCCTCAGAAAATGCTCCTATCTGCCTCACAGTCCCTTCCGAGTCTTCCATCTAGAAATACAGACAGTGTTCAAGAGCACTTCACATGGAAAATGAAAAGTCAACATTAAAACGCTATCCTCGCGGTACCACATTCCACCCTCTCATCTGTTCATTGGAGTGATCTAACCTCACTTAAAGTATGATCAGTAATACTTTTTAAAAAGTTAGTGCCTCAGTGGAAGGGGCTACGAAAACACACATAACCACTACCTATATCCATATAGGTAACACATTCCCTGAAGTTGAAGGGGTTAATGGCAGTCCCCTACCTGCTCCAACTGGTCCAGGTCGTCCTCGTAGATCCTCAGGCCCCCCTGGAAGCTGCTGTTCTTGGGAATCTCCACGTCCATGGGGCACACGTACTCCTCGCTGTCCTCCTGGCGCTTCTTACGCAGCGTCCCGAAGCCACCGAACGACAGCCTTCTTGGCTGGAGGAGGAGAAAGGATGATGGGAGAGAGTCAGTCAAATGGGGACAAACAGCTGTGTGCCGATAGTGTTAAAAAGCAGTCTGTCCTCGCCTCCTTTTCCTGCTGACCACTGATCTGATCTGATCTGACAGGACAGGCGAAAGCAATATGGCAAAAACCTATCCAGTCCATTCACACATAAGTGGTCACGAGGCCAACTTCGAGTAGTGAGACACAGCCAAGGACACTGATCAGATCAATAAACACTGATCCCCAAAGCTCTGTATGTCTAACAACAAGATGATGCCTTACCAGCTGTGTGTTGACCCTACCTTGACCTTGGCGGTGGCAGTGAGCAGGGTGTAGTCAGGGTTCTCCAGACACTCCTGTTTGCTGCGCTGGGCCGCAGAGCCGATGAGCAGGTGGAAGTGGGTGGCCAGGTGGCGGCGCAGCAGGGTCTTGTTGGGAGGGATGTTGAGCAGAAGGGCCAGGGACTCCACGTTGAAGCGAGGCTCCAGCACCTGAGACAAGGAGAGATGGAAATGAAGAGACAGACACAGGCAAAAAAGGCAGTCAATGTATGTATATGCTGATGAAGGCATGTGTTCCTGAAATTAGTCAGTGGCAAGCCAATTCAAACGTAAGACTTTTCCCTCTCACCATGACCCCCCCGTGCACACCACTGCCCCTCAGGTTAGGAGCGTACTCAGCCAGGTCCACTGATCTCAGCCACTCCATCACTCTGTGATTGGTCCACTGGGAGATCTCCGCTGGCGTGATGTTGTTCTGCCGAGATAGTTTTTATTAACACCAGCTTAAAAAACAGAAAAGTGTCTCTTTTCCCTATACAAATAACACCACTGAAATGTAACTGAACTGGTGAAGTGAGAGATCATGTGTATGGTGGATATGAAAGCACAGGGAAAGAATGAGAGAGAGAGACTTTATTTATTTAGTTGTCTCTAAACCGTACCTCGTCAGAGGGTCGTCGGCGGAGGCAGTTGGGCTCGTAGAAGTTGAGCCGGAGGACCTGGATGGCTCTCTTGATGCTGAGGTGGTGGAGAACACTGCCCACCTTTAGAGACAGCAGGTCATCCTGAAGAGGACAAACACATACACTTCTCAGTCAGGAGAATGACTACTGTCAATCAATTAGAAATAAAGTACACTAGACCTACAACATATGATCACACAAAAGCAAGGATTTTTTAAATTTAAATCGACTTTATTCATCCCCCCTGACACTGATTCTAAATGATTTTAGCCATGTTAGACTGACTATTGCAATTTGAAACTCACCACAGTCATGTAGTGTAGCATTCGCCCATCGACCCTCCCCTCTTCAAACTGGCTCTTATACTGGGGCAGACCAATGTCATCCAGCCATCCTGAGAAACACCAAAACAAGTCAATCACAAGTCACAAAACAGAAAGGTTATTCCATTTTTCGTTGTTAAGGCTTCATTGATAACTCCGAGGCGGTGGTCAGTGGTCACTCACTGGTCACCCAATTGTGGTCCAGTTTGGACTTGCCGCAGTCCTCGTCTGATCCCAGTGCCTGGAGAGCCAGCTGCAGCTTCTTCCTGTGTAGGGGGTGTTTGATCCCCAACTCCTGTTGCCACATAAACATGTATGAGTTGTTTAAGACATCTCACATACTGTACAGTTAAGAAGAGAGCGCTAGAGAAAATAGATGTTTGTCAGGACACAGGTAGCAAATTGAACATTAACCAACTATAAGCTTTAACATTGGGGTTTCATTAAAATGTCTAGCGACATAGAATCTAAACACAGCATGCATGATGGTCCCAGGAAACGCCTCCTGGATGGTCCACTGAGGTGTCCTACCTTCTCCAGGTCGTGCTGCGAGGCCTGCAGCAAGGTGTGCCCTGAGCGGATCCACTGCTGGGCTTGAGCCACGTGCAGCCCCAGGCACTGCTCCTGCAGCCACACACACACCTGCTCCTTACTCCACTGTGCAAAGGGAGCGGCCACATCACTGAGGGGAGAGAGAGCGAGCACACTCACCTTAAACGTGGAGGGTAAACACTACACTGCACTCCATAATTCATTGCCATTTACTCCTCTGACACCACAACATCCTAATATTCTAAAACTGTGATACTGTAGACTTAGTTCCAATTATCTTCTGATCTATTCCTCTACATATCTAGCTCACAGACAGATACACACACAGAGACACAGTCTAGCAAGAGGTGAGCTTCACATACTCAACACTGTGCTGCAGGTCACGTGACCAGCCCAGTCGGGGGCCGGCCGTGGCTCTGACTCCTCCCCTCCTGAACTCAGTCTCTGTCTCCTCCAGGTCTAGCGAGGTGGAGTGACTTCTCTTCAGCCTAGAGGGGTCAGAACACTACACCTAAATATCCTGCCATACTCTGTCCTCATGTTACAGCAAACCCTCTGTCCTCATGTTACAGTTAATAAAGCCATAGTTTCATTTAAAAACCCTGGCTCCATCTTAATTCAGCTTTCCCCAATTATTTGCATAGCATCTCCTTACCTCCTTCTAAACTCAGGGGATAGAGAACATTTTGACCCACCTGCCTAAGAACTTCTTAAAGCCTCTGGACTTCTTCTTGGCCTCTGGTGAGGAAGGAAGGGTCTGGCTGTTGTCTCCTCCCTGAGGTTTGTGTGGTGGGGCACCAGCCAAGTCCAAGTGGTCTGTGCCCTTACGCTCGGCCTCAGCTGGATTCAAACACACATCTGTTAGATCAACAGCCAACATCTGACACAATCCACCACCACTTAGAAAACGCCGGAGGCCAACACTACCCAAGGACTACAGCTGCAATGGCCACCACAAGCACTTCTGGACTACATCTTCCACTACACACCACCACCACTAGGACTACGCCAAGAACCACTGAAAAGCACCACAACTCAATCTGCACATGCAAAGGACTGGTTGGCATGAACTGCTGATGCAAATTCATAGACTTCCAACTGTAAAAGACAAATCTCAGAGGCACATCTTGAAGGACAGCTAGCAGAGTTACGCGGCATCATTGCAGATGGTGTCACGTCATGGATAAGGAACAACTGGATATGATTTCAAAGGGGAAAGAAATCACACACTAAAAACCACCGAGCTCACACCAGCGATCAACTAAAAACTTTCACTTGCTTGATACAAGTGAAGAATTAAGAGTAGGAAAGATGGAGGTAGAGGCATATCTAGGGATTCTTCAAACAACAACGTAACCATTTACCATCTATGACCCAATCAGCCTCAAGAGCGCTCAGAAAAACACACTGCCTCTTTATTTAGTCTACGATGGGTCTGGTTGTATGGTAGATGGTGATCACATTGTTGTGTTAGTATCCCTGCACACATCCAGCGGTCATCCTGATCTGCCATACTGCAGGCCTGGCCCGTCTGTGGGGCTCTGCACTGTAGACTACTGTACTGTACCCAGTGTAGGCGCACTCACACTCCGGCTGCGATCTTCACATCACATAGAACCATGGAGGATAGAGAGAGCAAGGACAGAACATAGTCACTAGTGTAGATACTACCAGACGACAGACAGAAATAAGAAAACACACATTAAGGTATGGAACTGTGAATGGTTTTTCTTATATCATGAACAGAGAGTAATATATATATTTTCACAGCCCTTGTTCACACCACCCCGTGCAGAGGCACGTGCACCCTTCTTCCCCGTACCCTTCCTGCCCCCCAATGATGAGACTCACCCAGATTTGGGGCACTGGACGTCCTCTTGCCTCCACGCATCTTGAAGAAACCACGTCCAAAGGAGGAGCGGGCCTTCTTGGTCCCAAAGCTTTCATTACTGGTGGGGTTTGATGGGGAGGTGGATGGGGGGCTGGGCTCCTCAATCGAGGTCTAGAAATTTGTGTGTGGGGGTTTATGAGCACATAAAACCTAATGAAATATTTGGCATGCCAGTAAACAAAGTCAATCTCCCAATAGAACCAGCTCCATTGTAGTTATATTGTTCTACCACCAGGTGGCAGTGGAGTAACATGACTGTCAAAACAACCATTGCTCAGGAATCCTATTATGATTCTGTATCATCCGGACAAACAGTCCGGAGTCCAGTCAGCCGTCACAGTGGGGCTCAGTGACTCCGTCCTCCGTGTGGGGGCGATAAGAGCTAGAACCATGCCTTCTGCATGACTTGCCCATTTGGGAGACACATCCCATAGTGCCTTTGAGACTCTCCCACGTTGAGAGGTCAAAAGGTCAAAGATAAGAGGCTCTAGTATTCTAGTTTGGGTGACAAAACTAGGGGGGGTAGGTAATTGGCCCCTTTTGCACTGTCAAAATATGTGATTTAAAACTTAGTCAGGCTAGAGCAATGGGTCAGTAACCGAAAGGTTGCTGGTTCGAATACCCGAGCCGACAAGGTGAAAAATCTGTCGATGTGCCTTTGAGCAAGGCACTTAACCCTAATTTGTTCAAAGGGTGCTGTACTACTATGGCTGACCCTGTAAAACAACACATTTCACTGCACCTATCCGGTGTATGTGACAATAAAAAAATCTTATCGTATATAAACTCTGCCATGATTGCAGCAATTCAAGGTCTTTCCAGTTAACCCACCACTCCCCATCCCCCTAGGAGAGAGGGGACGGTCTTACCTGCTCGGTGTTGCTGTTTGTGTGACCCAGGCTACCTGCTGAATGTGGTGGGACTTCTGGTGGACTGCAAAGAGAAGGGAAAGTTAACCCTCAGCTTAGACCTAGAGATGATGAACATTCAGACAAATAAACTAAAAACAGTGACCTAAAGTGCAAATAGTCCATGGGAGTGTAGTTTGTGCAGGGAAAGGAAAACTTTACCCGTCTGTGTCTGGCGCCTGTATCGGTCTCTCCTGTTCCAGCTCTGAAAACACTGCAATAGATGGAATCTGGGAAAAGAGAAAGAAAGACAAGAGTCAACATCTCTAAATGAATGAGTCGTCAATGTCGCAAAGCACAGTCGACAGTTTCATTGGTTAGGTAGCTGCTGTCCAGCTAAGCCAATACCCCAAGCCTGTTGACTTGCACATTCCTATGAAAGGCCCAACATGAAGTTTTGGTAAGGAAGTCTAGAGTCTCGGGTCCATCCTGTGTGTGATACATTGTTATGACAGGGGAGGTCTTTACCTCGTCCCAGCTCCTTCCTGTCTCCTCCCCAACCGCCAGGGTGGCCCGGTCTGTATCCATGGTGACCTGAATGGAGCGGGATCTGTCATCCTGGATGTCATAGTAATCGTCTTCATTCAGTGTGTCTGGGGGGAAGGGGGGACATTTATAATTGTTACACAATTATCAAGTCCATTATTCTACACTCTCAAACATGTGATTGATCTAGTCCGATAAATAGAGAATTAATGGACTATTGCAATGATACCAATAAAACACTTTCATACTCCTTGAACATAGTTTCACCTTTCACCAAGTCCTGGACTTTCTTGTACCGTGTGATAGACTCCTGAAGCTCCTTGATCCTCCGGTCCTGTGGGTGAAGGATGGTAGATCAGAGTTAGAAAAAGCCATTGAGATCCCCATGCGTCAACTAATAATAATAATAATAATAAGCCATTTAGCAGACACTTTTATCCAAAGCGACTTACAGTCATGTGTGCATACATTTTTACGTATGGGTGGTTCCCGGGGATCGAACCCACTACCCTGGCATTACAAGCGCCATGCTCTACCAATTGAGCTACAGAGGACTACTGCAGCCTCTATGAAACAGTAAAGACAGCAGCTCCAGTACCTTGTCATTGTTGGCTGACATCAGGGACTCCATGGCCCTCTTCATCCTCAGCACATCCACATCTGGAAAACAACAAGTGTGCCCCCACAGTGATCAGACAGACACACTGTCTGGTGTCTACTGGTGTCTGTCCACACTGATGGAGTTTATAAATACCTACATTCAAGTCAAGTTCACTTAAGCAACAGGAATTTTAATCGAATAGACAATTACCTTGCAGTATATGGGGCATGTTCAAGCACAATACATTCTTGAAGTGAATAAATTGCACCCTACATAAATTGCATTCCTTTATAGTAAATGGGTGATAAGAGACTCAGCTGTGGGTTGAAAGAGTCAGAGATCATGTCTAAACATGTGTGGTATGAGCCCTGCAGACAGATAAGAGGACAGTAAGGTTGGAAGTACAAAACCCCCCTTTTTTCCCCTCAGTCTGTGTGAGACTGAGACAGGATGCTTAGAAAACTGTATTTCAGGGGGAAACTCCAATGCTCAGGCCATGTCTTGATGGTACTCATCATTACTTAAGGGGACTTAAGGGCAGAAGTAACTGCAGACGAATTAGGAAAAGGAATGCTGGAACATATTTTTGCCGTATATCTGTCAAGGTGCAAGTTAAGCCTATTGAAATATTATGGCTCCTGGTGTGTATGGGGGTGAGGCGAGGTCCCCCTCCCTCCCCCATGTCTAGTAACAGTACTCCCACCTTTCTCCCCTCCATCTGTTCTGTCTGGGGTCAGGACTCCCAGTGTAGCCTGGTCTTTTAGCCTCCTCAGCTCCTCCCCTCTCTCCTCCAGCTGCCTCTGAAGGGTCTGCAGTTCCTCCTGAATGGGAGAGGACCATTCTGACCTCATTAAACTACAGATACACATCTAGGCCCATATTCTGAAAGTGTCTCAGAGTAGAGGGGTACACGACAAAGCAGAATCAATGAGCGAATTTGCCTAAATATTCTGAAATAACGTTATATTTTTTTAGAGAGAAGCTTGAAAATGGGCATGGCATAATTGACTCAATAACCAAAAACACATATCGAAGTTTAGCTTTCTTAATGAACCAGAAAATCAATACTTATTTCTGGTTGTTTATTAAAGTTAGCTGGCTGACCCATTGAACCTACATTGTAGTATACCCCTTAGGGGCACTGATCTAGGATCAGATCCCCCCTGTCCATTCATACCAGAGAAGCACTCTTAGTAAGAGACACTTTATGAATACAGGCCAAGATCTAGATAAGAACACAGCTAGACAACAGAGTCTGACCAAACTCAAAGTTAAAACCCAGTCTGATAACTAACTAACTGTGATGTAGGGCAAGTGAGTGCATGACCCAAAACAGGATTAGAGTGAGGCTACATTCTACCAGAGGACTGGTGTAGCCCTCCTGTAGCTCAGTTGGTAGAGCATGGCGCTTGCAACACTAGGGTTGTGGGTTCGATTCCCACGGGGGGCCAGTATGACAAATGTATGCACTCACTAACTGTGAGTCGCTCTGGATAAGAGCGTCTGCTAAATGTCTAAAAATGTAAAAGAATAAGTGTCTTTACCAGAGAACCATACACAAACACACTGTAAACATGTTGTCAGTTTCACATTCCACTGAGAAAGAACAGCTCCATTGGGATGTTAATCCATGACCGATCAGATCCATCCATTAGTTTAGCAGCTTACTTAGCCAAAGGTTTAAGACATTTTCTCATCAATGTACAGTTAACATACAATTAAGTGGATCATGGCAGGAAGTGAAGAAGAACTAGTGTGTTAAGAAATCTGCAACTTATACTTAGCTGGTAGGAAAACTTACAGTCAAAGTGGAAGCGTGGTGAAAGCTGGCAAAGTGGATAGGGTCAATGGACAAAAGGGAAGGTTTAGAGGCCCATAGGGATAGACAGGGAAGAGCAGAGCGCTGGGTGTTAACTTCTGCACCACACCTCCAGAGAACCGTAACCTGCCCATGTTCCGTTCCTAGGGCTGCACAGGTTAGCATGTTACAGGGGAGAAGTTAGCCAGGCAGGAGTGAGAGAGGAGACAAAAGGTATGAACCCTGAAGGAAGTGGTATTAAGAGTGAAAGCAGGGATATATAACCAACACACAAGGGAACGATAGATTCAGTACCTACATGCTGTAGAAAAGGTGTAGAGTGAGTCAAACTTAATCTGTGGACCATACAGTAATGTCATGCACAATCAAATGTGAATGGACTGATCTAAAGCCTTCGTATTGCAGACAGATTTTTAGCCATGCTACTCACTTTGGTGGATTTAAGTTTATTTTCACACTGCAGTCTTTCATTCTCCATATCGGTCACCCTGAACCGCAGGTCGTTGACTTCCTGGTACAACCCCTGGGGAGGTAAAAGACTGCATTACCCACATGCCCAAGGGGTCAGCTGAGAGTCTTGGAGGAAACTGTGGGGGATGTTTTTGCAGAGTGAAAAATCCCCAATGGAGGCACCAAATACTATTTAGAGAGAGAGAGAGGAGAGAAACAGAGAGCCAGAGAAGCCCAACATGGAGACAGATCCTTGAGTCGAAGGAAGCGTCATGGTCAATTACCATTACAACTGCTTTTATGTCATGGATAATACATACTCCTGCACCTTGGCGCAATTACCGTATAGATAGAGCACTCAGGAAATATGCATCATCATTAAACAAGAATGTGCTACATGATTCACGACACATACATTTAGACAAGAGTAAAAACCGCAGAGCACTGTGGGTAGGAAAGAAGAAATGGATCAGACTCAGGGGTGTGTGATTTACAGCCGAACAAAGCCCAACATTAAACAAAGGCAGTATTAAATATATATGGAAGACATTGTCTTTCCACACACACACCACTCCCTAAAGGTTATAGTAGTGTCGGAAACCCACACTCAGGATCCAATATCCTGATTCCTCTCAATATTCCTCCAACCCAGGCCTGCTCAGTGCTCATGGATGGGGTGTATGGAAACCCTGACTGTCAAACTCCCAGCTTCTCTAGAGGGGAGAGGAATTATTTTATGAGAGGAAACGGCTGCTGGAGCAGGGGGTGTTTTGGCACTCTCCCTGCCCGCCAGTCCACCCAGGTCAGGATCTGCATTACGGATCAGGGCCCACTCCAACCGACTGAGACGAACCTCTGCATGGTCTCAGTGTGAACTATTAAACGTTTGGGTGACTGCCAAGATTCATATGCACTCACATCCTAATATTATAAGAAGTCTGCCTGCCGTTGAACGAAACTCCAAATATCTACCAAAGACATGATATCTCTGTGTGGGTGAGTCTATTGTCATAACGCATCTGTGTACCTCACTATCCCTGCGATCTCTCGCCACAGTGGTCAGCTTCAGTTTCAGACTGGACACCTCGGTCATCAGCTCCAGCTTCTGGCTCTCCAGGGTCGACCTGCTCAACAGCTCCTGCACAGGACACACAGTCACAGATTCAGTCACTAACTAGTAGGAGTGAAGTGTTTAAGTGTATTAAATCAGTATTAATTCAGAAAGATAATTTGGATCAAAGGCTGACCAATACCTTGAGCCCAAGGTTCTGTCTCATAATAAGACATACCACCATGCTAATAACCATAATACACTGCAACCCTGCTGGGGCTCACCTGCTGCAACATTTCTTCAGTGGCGTTGAGTTTCTCTCTGTGTTCCCCCAGACACATGTCCAGATCCCTGATCTTCTCCCCCTGCACCTCCACCTGGTCTGAGAGAACACTCACCTGGGGACAGTCATTCAATAATACACCACATGTCATCTGTGTGTTGTTTTCAGGGTATAGGTTTGGGATCTAAGAGCATGCTCTGTGATTCATGCATTTCACTCAAACCATGAATAGGTTAAAAAAACGACTGAATTCAACAGCAACCTACCAAATACACTTTCAACAGAACACCCTTGTCCAATGTATTTGCTAATGTACACATTTTCAAAATATGGGGTCGTATTTCCTATTTGTTAAAACTGGTCTCTGCTTCTTCATGGCCTCGTGACACAGCGTTTTTCACTCAGACACACACCTGGAGGACGAGACACTCCTTATCGCTCTCCACCCGTGACAGTCGTTCCTGGTAGATCATGGCGGAGCCATGTCCGTTGGTCTGAAATCACAAACAACCAAGGCCATCGTCAGAAGGCTGATCGCCCTATCACCATACCAGGAAAAGACTCCTGACCCTAGCAATAGAGCAACCTCCAGTCATAAGGAAGATGATGCATCACTCCATCTCAAAGGCCAGCATACAGCATTCAGGTGTCATAGCATCACATGATTTTTCCCTGGGAAAAAGAGTCCGGTGACACGTGAAATGCATGTTATTTGAGAGACACGTGAGGGTCGATAGGGTTCTCACATGCAAGTGCTTCGTGTGTGACTAAAGTGGAAATTGAATAAAAAACTAAGCTCCTCTTCTCATATTTCACACAGGGAAAGAAAGGGCTTGAGGAGGGAGGAAAACATGAGCCTCACTGTGAATGGAAACCATTGCAAACACCGCTCCAGAGACACTTCTTCACTCACAAAGCATGTCATCACACAATAGCTGTACAATCAAAGGAGTCAAGGTATAAATAAGGTAAGGGTGTGAAGACACAAAGCAGACAATCACACAAAAGGAATCTAGTCTAAAAGTACTTTTATCTTAATGTGTGGAACACTCGTCAGCAATACATTTTCCATCATTACACTCAAATTCTGAATATCTCAGACATTAAAAAGAGATTCTCCGGTACTTTTGTAGACTTTTTAGCCAGTAGTTCTGAAAGTAGCACTCACGAGACAAAAGTTCACGCACCACATAATTTCTCTCTCGCTCGCTCTGCTGTGTGTGCATCTTAATAGCAGTCACTCAAATCGCGAGGGGCTGAAGCAAATTGTCTTGAACTCTAATTGCTAGGGGGCTGGGCCATGATGGGGAAAATGTAGGGAAAATGGTGCAGCACAGCTTCCCCAAAAACAGTCGCTTTCAAAATAGGGATTTTGTGGCTAATTTAGGTAAGACAGTAATTCTGCTCATAAATGATGCATGTATGAACTACACACTGACACATCCAGCCCATAGCGGGAGGTTAAAAAAATACTTAGTTCCGGAGCATGTCTTTAATGTCCTTCACAATAGTAAAAATACTGACTAACATTATCAGTGTTTTCATTTGCAACAGTAAGAGAACAGAGGGAGTTACCTACCAGCTGTCCCTGCTGCAGCCACTCCACTAGGCCATCGGCGGTGGTGTCGGGGACCTGGCAGCGGAGGCCCTCCCTCTCGTCCTGGTCCATCATCTCCAGCGCCGCCCGCAGGTCCTCCAGCAGGTGCAGCGCCCGCAGGCTACCCAGGAAGGGCGAGGTGGGCGACTGGCAGTCAAACAGCCCATTGGAATAGTCCATGGCCTTGGAGCCTGTTGGGTTAGAAGCATAGATATACAGTGCATTCTGAAAGAATTCAGACCCCTTGACTTTTTCCACATTTTGTTACGTTACAGCCTTATTCTAAAATTGATTAAATTGTTTTTTTCCCCTCATCAATCTACACACAATACCCCATAATGACAAAACAAAAACAGACATTTTTGCAAATTTATTAAAAAATATATATAACTGAAATATCACATTTACATAAGTATTCAGCCCCTTTACTCAGTACTTTGTTGAAGCACTTTAGGCAGCGATTACAGCATTTAGTCTTCTTGGGTATGAAGCTACAAGCTTGGCACACCTGTATTTGGGGAGTTTCTCCCATTCTTCTCTGCAGATCCTCTCAAGCTCTTTCATGTTGGATGGGGAGCGTCGTTGCACAGCTATTTTCAGGTCTCTCCAGAGATGTTCGATCGGGTTCAAGTCCAGGCTCTGGCTGAACCACTCAAGGACATTCAGAGACTTGTCCCGAAGCCATTCCTGCGTTGTCTTGGCTGTGTGCTTAGGGTTGTTGTCCTGTTGGAAGGTGAACCTTCACCCCAGTCTGAGGTCCTGAGCACTCTGGAGCAGGTTTTCATCAAGGATCTCTGTGTACATTGCTCCGTTCATCTTTCCCTTGATCCTGACTAGTCTCCCAGGCCCTGCCGATGAAAAACATCCACCCAGCATGATGCTCCCACCACCATGGTTCACCATAGGGATGGTGCAAGGTTTCCTCCAGACGTGACACTTGGCATTCAGGCCAAATAGTTCAATCTGGGTTTCATCAGACCAGAGAATGTTGTTTCTCATGGTCTGAGAGTCCTTTAGGTGCCTTTTGGCAAACTCCAAGCGGGCTGTCATGTGCCTTTTACTGAGGAGTGGCTTCCGTCTGGCCACTCGACCATAAAGGCCTGATTGGTGGAGTGCTGCACAGATGGTTGTCCTTCTGGAAGGTTCTCCCATCTCCACAGAGGAACTCTGGAGCTCTCTCAATGTGACCATCGGGTTCTTGGTCACCTCCCTGACCCAGGCCCTTCTCCCCAGATTGCTCAGTTTGGCCGGGTGGCCAGCTCTAGGAAAAGTCTTGGTGGTTCCAAACTTCTTCCATTTAAGAATGATGGAGGCCACTGTGTTCTTGGGGACCTTCAATGCTGCAGAAATGTTTTGGTACCCTTCCCCAGAGCTGTGCCTTCACACAATCCTGTCTCAGAGCTCTATGGACAATTCCTTCAACCTCATGACTTGGTTTTTGATCTGACATGCACTGTCAACTGTGGGACCTTATATACACAGGTGTGTGCCTTTCCAAATCATGTCCAATCAATTGAATTTACCACAGGTGGACTCCAATCAAGCTGTAGAAACATCAAGGATGATCAATGGAAACAGGATGCACCTGAGCTCAATTTCAGGTCTCATAGCAAAGGGTCTGAATACTTATGTAAATAAGGTATCTGTTTTTTTATTTCAAATACATTTGCAAAACTTTCCAAAAACCTATTTTTGCTTTGTCATTATGGGGTATTGTGTATAGATTGATGATGTTTTAATCAATCTTAGAATAAGGCCGTAACGTCACAAAATGTGGAAAAGGTCAAGGGGTCTGAACACTTTCCGAATGCGCAGTACATCTATAGTTTTATCCCTGTGGTTAGAAGTTTGAACCTCTCCCATCCTCTCCTAATTCCCTTCAACAAGGAGGATGAAAGGCGATATCACCAGGTGGGATATCATTGACCAATGTGATGCGCTGCAGATGTGGATTTCTGAATGTGTCCTGAAAAATCACATACCACACATTCTAAAAGCAAAGAAAAACAGATTAGATATCTATAAAACAAATGTTTGGGTGCAAGAGGCCTGAGAATAAGCTTATTTGTTGGACTTGGAAAAGCCCTGTTTCCAGTGTGTACTATAATCTGCTAGACAGCATCTGTCAACCAGCTCCAAAAGGTCAACCTTCATAGAAATGTAGAACAGAAAAATAGAGGGATAAATAAATATACAAGTCTTCCCCAAAAGGCAGCCAGGGATTTTGAATGCTGTGGTTTCTGTGGTAACGGGGGCTAGAGGATGTCATGTGATCAGCCATCCTTCTTGGAAAGGTCAATTCTATAAATTACACAAGTCAGTGGAAAGGCCTGGGCTCTTAAAGTGGACCCCTCTGCTCATCTGTCACCAAAAAGTCATAGGAACAAAACTTCCCTCTGGTGTCTGACTTTCACTGGGTTTTTTTTATTGCTTTTGTGTTATTTTCAGAAATATGTGGTACATTTTCAAAACTCAAAAGAGATCATCAAAAAGGCAGTGGTTTCAAAACTAACCACATTTTCAATTGACTAAGTACAAGACACAATATCAGTCAGTTTTTCACCAAACTTAAAATCAGTGTTTCATATTGCAATTCATGTTCATATAAAGTTATTGCCTTTCACAATGCAATGCTCACATTACTTTTGATATGATTCTCTTCTATTTGGTTAAAATACATTTTACTATTACTTAGTCCGACTGTTCTTAATTGATGACCACTTAAAAGTTTGGTAAAGCTATAGGTTTTACATAGTTTGTCAACTACAGAATGTTTGTAACAAATTCAAGTTAAATGGTTATGTACACAGATTAGCAGATGTTACAGCAGGTGCAGTGGAAATGCTTGTGTTTCTAGCCCCTACATTGCAGTAATACAATATCAATATGAAAATAATCCAGAAAGTCCAAAACAATAAAGAAATGCATCCCCTATACAGTAAACATGTATCCAAAATTGTGTTGCTGGGGGTCACACTGCTTTACAAAAATGGCATCGGCCAATAAAGTACTGTAATACCGTAATATATGCCAATACAGTACTATAATACTGTAATATATGCCAATACAGTACTATAATACTGTAATATATGCCAATATAGTACTGTAATAGGTGACATTTACGTAGCAGACAATTTTATCCAAAGTGAATACAGTCCACACATTTCGGTATGTGGCCCCAGTGGGAATCGAAACCCACAACTCTGGTGTTGCTAGTGCCATGCTCTTATGAACTGAGCCACGTACATGACCACCAAAATAAACACGTACAAAACAATACACGATTACAATACAGGTGAAGATGTAGGATTGCCATCCCCATGGGCGTGCCACCCTCCTTCAGGCCATGGATGAGGCATGCAATGCCTGTAAATCATCTTAGCAGTATGCCTTGAATAATCATTCGTTTCCATCACTGCTGAAACAATGGAAAGTCTTGCTTTCTCATTTTTGGAGGACTGCACTGGGAAACATCCCAGACCAGTACCACAGCCACATGTTAAGACCAGCAGCATGGGAACCCTAGTCCCGAGGGTAGATATCAGGGGCTTATTTAAGAGGCGGTGTGTTTTATGTCAATATTTGAGGGGATCAGCCCCACAGTTCAAAATGTGAGTGAGTTTTGCATGTTTTATTTATTTGATTTCACCTTTATTTAACCAGGTAAGCCAGTTGAGAACAAGTTCTCATTTACAACTGCGACCTGGCCAAGATAAAGCAAAGCAGTGCGATAAAAACAACAACACAGAGTTACATATGGGATAAACAAAAAACGTACGGTCAAAAACACAATAGAAAATCTATATACAGTGTGTGCTGTGCAAATGCAGTAAGTTATGGAGGTAAGGCAATAAATAAATAGGCCATAGTGCAAAAGAATTACAATTTCGTATTAACATAGCGTTACCTGCTATGATCCCATCCATTTGCTCCAAGGCGGCTGCCAACATCTCGCTGGCGTCGGACATCATCTTCACCGTCCCACTGTGAATCTGAAAGAGAACAGAAGTGTGAAGTCATAAGTAAAGACCAATGACGCCTGAACAGCCATTGCCCAGAAGACTACAGCCATTGCCCAGAAGACTACAGCCATTGCCCAGAAGACTACAGCCATTGCCCAGAAGACTACAGCCATTGCCCAGAAGACTACAGCCATTGCCCTGAAGACTACAACCTACAGTACAAGTTAGACGATGTGCTTGTAAAAACGTCAGTGTCTGAAAATGTATGGCATTTCAAAGCTTTTAAAACTTGAGCAGTAAATTACATTAACCCCCTGGGAAGTTCAAGTCTACACATTACACACAGACAGAACTAAAGTGGACAGAGACCACCCAAGAGTCAGGACCCCCCTACATTACCACACTAGCAGATTTGACAACTTTTTACAGTAATACTTGATGAATGGCATTTCTATGCACCTTCATTTGTAAGCCACTTCCCGGTAGTAAGGATAATGTTCTAGCCCACAGTTAGTTGTAGAATGAAACTGCAAATTTTCTCCCTCCATGTGAATGGGACATTAGTGAATTCCCATGTCTTGTGTGATCAAGTATAATTACAATGCATGGCAGAGTAACTGTAGCAAAGGATTTTCTCCATCTGTTTGATAAGCTCGCCAAACAGGAAATTGGAGCATAATTGTCTGGTATTGTTGGTGGGCATTGTGGTGTCCCTGGTACATTTGAATATGAATATGAAATCGTATTCCTCATCATTTTTTTAACAAAATACATCCAATTGAAAAGGTTGCTAAAGAAGATATTATCCATCATGAATATTCATGGTTGTATGATGACAAGTTCTCAGATTCAACAGCGTTACTCCTACCATACATGCATTCTCCTATAGTGGAAATCTGGTGGCCTGAAGTTGTTGGGCATTTTTGTGCCACACAACTTCCCCATTGATGACTGCATTTAGTACAGACCTCAGCAATTCACTTTAGTAATGCGGTCAAGACTCAAGCCCATGACTGGGTGTTTCCATATGCAAATGTTGGGTAACAGCCTAGCAGTTTACAATCACCCTATCCTCCCTTTTCATCATTCGACTGTAAGTCTCTTTGGATAAAAGCATCTGCTAAATTGCATATCATCATATCATATCATCATTAAGTGCCCCAGTTTCCCCACACCTGCTCCATGACTGTCTAGGTAAAAACAATTGATCAGTGCCACTGGAATCAAAACCAGAAAGGAATCTAGACCATGGCATAGCGAGTGATGTGAACTATAAGTAACCACAACATGCCAGTCGGAAACAAAGATGAGCTCTCAGAGGCAAAACCAGTGATTTCTCACCCCACAAAAATTCCCTGAGACCATTACATTTACATTTTAGTCATTTAGCAGACGCTCTTATCCAGAGCGACTTACAGGAGCATTTAGGGTTAAGTGCCTTGCTTAAGGGCACATCGACAGATTTTTCACCTAGTCTGCCCGGGGATTAGAACCAGCGACCTTTCGGTTACTGGCACAACGCTCTTACCCACTAAGCTACCTGCCACCCTTAGACCAGTCATGGGAATTGAGAGTGGGCTCTTATCTGGAATAATGATGCTATTCTACCAGGGATCTCTCCCCACAGTGTGTTGGCTTGACTGGAATTCCAAGCTTCCATAACAAAGTATCACTCCCAGCCTCAGGATGTCACAAGCAGCTCATTCACTTAAAATGGACCAGACAACTTCACTTTCATGGTAGGCCTAACGTTATATTACATATTGAATTCACGAAAACAAATGTACAATCTGAATGAGAAATGTAAAATAGCCTGAGAGGATATGAAATCACGACGCAAAGTCAATTGAATTGGAGGGTAATGAGAGAGAGCCCTCTCCTTGTCCAGGGCAGAAGGGCAGCATAACTCAGGGTTGGAGGGGGGAGGGGGGGGTGAGTTGTTGTGGAAAACGCTGAGGGGGCTTACTTCATTTCCTTTCCCCCTGGGTCAGAGAGTCACACCCAGAAACTCTCTGATGGAAGGGAGTTGCTCAAGCAGAAAACATTTCCAGAAGAAAACAATTCCAGCTTTATAAAGCTGCCCACATAATTGTCTTGGATGGTTTTCACAGCCTTTAAAAAAGGCACATAAAGCAGAATCATTGTTCATTGGACATTCCAATTGATAACTCAAATAATCTGAACGACGTTATCGTCAAGATGAATTATTTGCTGACTAAAGGCTACCTATAGAATGCAGGGTGGCGTAGCAGTGTGGTCGTGTACTCTTGTGTGTCCGTGTAAATAGCCTGTTTTTTGTTAGTTTTTTTCGTACATATTTCCCTATCACATTTTCATCCTTCTATTTATTTATTTATTTATTTTTGGTCATTTAGCAGACGCTCTTATCCAGAGCGACTTACAGGAGCAATTAGGGTTAAGTGCCTTGCTCAAGGGCACATCGACAGATTTTTCACCTAGTCGGCTCGGGGATTAGAACCAGCGACCTTTCTTCTACTAAATATACTTTCCTGCAACCCGCCTCACTCAATGTGGAACGGATTCTATTATTGACTTACCTTTTATCTAGGATCTCCAGTTGAAACTAGCTAGCCAGCTAACTAGCTACTTGCTATTAGCCACCGTTAGCGGTTTTTCACCCAGAACATCGGATTTGCTGCCAGAATAACTGAATCACTGGACATTAACACCGGATCGCAACTAGCTAGCCGCAACCGGATGGATGTTACTGTTGGCTAATCACCACTGCCCCCGAAGCAAGCACTAGTTAGCCTTGAGCTAGCCTCGAGCCAGGCCTATTTCCCGGCTATCTACCAGACGGGAGTAGCCAGCTAACTAGCTACTTGCTATTAGCCACCGTTAGCGGTTTTTCACCATTGTCCGTGGCCTGCACTACCTACCAGCCAGCTCTAGCCTGGACTATTATCGGCCAGTCTGCACTGTCTGCACAGCGCGTTAATGACCCAGAACATATCGTTTTTTCTGCCGGAATCACTGAATCACTGGACCTTTAACACCGGATCATCGCAACTAGCTAGCTGCAACCAAATGGATGTTGTTGTTGGCTAAATCAGCCTTGAGCTAGCCTCGTGTCAGGCCCATCTCCCGGCTATCTACCTCTCTGTCAACCGGACGGGACCTCCTAGAGTCGACACGGAGCCCCGCCGATCCATCACGACTGGTCTGCCGTCGTAATCGTCTGTGGTTTCAACAGGCTTCCCGTTGCGACGACAACGAAGATCCATCTACTAGCACCGGCCCGCTAGCACACGCAAACAACAGCCGTGCTTCCTGCTCGCCTGTGCTATAGCACCAATTCGAACTGCTCTCGGACTCACATATTGCTGTTCACTGGACCTTATGATCACTCAGCTGCACAGCTGATGCCTGCTGGACTGTTCCTTTACACGGTACCCTGTCCTGTTAATCTGTTTAGCCTCAGCCCAAACTTTCATCGCCATTACCAGTTGTTGTCTTAGCTCTCTCGAATAACACCTGTGATTGCTTTATGCCTCTCTCCCATGTCAATATGCCTTGCCTATTGCTGTTCCAGTTAGTTCTTATTATACAATTTCACTGTAGAGCCCCAAGTCCCTCTAAAACTGCCTCAAATAGCTCCTTTGTTCAACCCCCCATACACGCGGAGACCGGCTCAATCGGTGCCTACAGTGATGCTATCTCTTTCATTGTTACCCAATGCTTAGGTTTACCTCCACTGTACTCATATCCTTCCATATCCTTGTCTGTACATAATGCCCTGAATGTATTCTACAACGCCCGGAAATCTGCCCCCTTTATTCTCTGTACCCAACGCACTAGAAGAACAGTTCTTAAAGCCTTCAGCCGTACCCTTATTCTAGTCATCCTCTGTTCCTCTGGTGATGTAGAGGTTAACCCAGGCCCTGCAGCCCCCAGTATCACTCCTACTCCCCAGGCGCTATCATTTGTTGACTTCTGTAACCGCAAAAGCATTGTTTTTTTGCATGTTAACATCAGAAGCCTCCCTAAGTTTGAGTTATTCACTGCGTTAGCACACTCCGCCAACCCTGATGTTCTAGCAGTGTCTGAATCCTGGTTTAGGAAGGCCACCAAAAATTCAGAAATGTCCATTCCCAACTACAACATTTTCCATCTAGATAGAACTGCCAAAGGGGGTGGAGTTGCAATCTACTGTAGAGATAGCCTGCAGAGCTATATCATACTATCCAGGACTGTGCCCAAACAATGAGCTCCTACTTCTAAAAATCCACCTTTCCAGAAATAAGTCTCTCACTGTTGCCGCTTGCTACAGACCCCCCTCAGCCCCCAGCTGTGCCCTGGACACCATATGTGAATTGATTGCCCCCCATCTATCCTCAGAGTTCGTACTGCTTGGTGACCTAAACTGGGATATGCTTAACACCCCGGCCATCCTACAATCCAAACTAGATGCCCTCAATCTCACACACATTATCAAGGAACCTACCACGTACAACCCTAAATCCGTAAAAAGGGGCACCCTCATAGATATCATCCTGACTAATTTAACCTCTAAATACACCTCCGCTGTCTTCAACCAGGATCTCAGCGATCACTGCCTCATTGCCTGCGTCCATAATGGGTCCGCGGTCAAACGACCACCCCTCATCACTGTCAAATGCTCCCTAAAACACTTTAGCGAGCAGGCCTTCCTAATTGACCTGGCCCAGGTATCCTGGATGGATATCGATCTCATTCCGTCAGTAGAGGATGCCTGGTTGTTCTTTAAACGTAATTTCCTCTCAATCTGAAATAAGCATGCCCCATTCAAAAAAATTCAGAACTAAGAACAGATATAGCCCCTGGTTCTCCTCAGACTTGATTGCCCTTGACCAGCACAAAAACATCCTGTGGCGTACTGCTTAAGCATCGAATAGCCCCCGCAATATGCAACTTTTCAGGGAAGTTAGGAACCAATATACACAAGCAGTTAGGAAAGCAAAGGCTAGCTTTTTCAAACAGAAATTTGCATCCTGTAGCACTAACTCCAAAAAGTTTTGGGACACTGTAAA